ACGAGGCAGGCAGAGCTCTCGCTAATGGACTCATCGCTACAATCACTGACGTACCAGCATTGGGGCAGCGCAGAGTGAGTGTGCTGATCCGGGAAGCGCGCGGGTCCCACGGAAGAGCTGGAGGTGAGAGATTTGCTCTCACTTCGCACCCAATCTCCGGAGGGGAGGCTCGAGGGGTGGGAGAAAGGAGACCGTCCTCCCAGCGCTCGTGAGCCACTGGCAAAATGCACCGAACCTGCAAGCTAGAAAGCATAGCGTCCAAGACTGGCAGACTTCAGGCTGTCACATCCGGGGAAGTGGAAAAGTGCTCTTTCATGATGTTTTCATGGCAGTAAAAAGTGCCATTGGAAATGGGGCCCCGCCCTCCAGCGGGGAAAGAGCAAGTTCCCTCTTCTCCATATGACCTGTCCCAGGGACGCTTCGTGGTCCGTTGCCGGACTTAGCGGCGTTCTGGGCAGGGGGGGCTGCCTGCTTCCGAGACGTTCGACGTGCTCGCTTCGCCAGAGGCATGTGCGGGGGCGGTGCAGCTCTCGTGGGCGGGCGCCTTCGGCGAGGAGCAGATATGGATGGCACGGCGGGCGGAGCGGGCTTACGGACCTGCCGATAAGACATGACCCATCAGACTGCTCTTTCACCGCCTCGAATTCCTGGGTGAATTCACAGACGGTGTCGCCGAACATGCCAGCTTGGGATATGGGGAAGTCAAGAAAGCAGACTTTGTCAACTTTGTGCATATCAGCCAGGAGTGGCGCTCCTGGATCACTAGTGTGGACATCGTCCTCCCCAACGCACACGCAGCGGACTTAGTAGTCCCAAAAGCTTAGTCGGCTGCGGTGCGAAGCTCATAAGCCTGGGTTGGGACCCACCCTCGTGCAGCTCGGCCAGCGCCTGCGCTTGGTAGCGCTGGTAGGTGGCTATCGCATGCAAGGCGGAAGCAGCCTGGCCCGCAGCCTTGTAAGCTCTAGCTCCGAGGGAGGCAGATAACTTACAGGCTTTGGATGGGAGATGAGGCGAACCCCGCCAAGAAGAGGCGCCGCGCGGATTGACCGCCATCGCGCACTCAACCTGAGGAATCGCCACATACCCCCTGGCCGTTCCACCCTCAAGAGTGGTGAGGGTAGAGGGACACGCAGCACGAGCTGGAAAAAGTGCCCTTCAAGGCGGCGTGAGCCTACAGTGCACCTCCGGGAAGAAGGGGACGCCCCTCTAGTCGGTCCGGCTGCGGAGCTGGGGGATAAACCATCTGAGTGAAGCAGCCCGGGAAAGCATGGCTAACATATCCGTTTCAGGATCCGTTTTGACAGTGCTCACCTGCCCGGAGGGGGCGAGCGGGTCTGGATCATCATCATCGGACAATGAAAGCCCACCCTCCGATGCCGCGGTGGACGTCTGGTTTTCGGTGTCATCGAGCATAAGGGCTACCATCTGTTAGACTGATCGCTTCCCCCGCCCGAAGCTTGGATGGAGCGCTTGAAGGAGCGGGAGGTCCGCGGGCCCATGGGCGACGGATTATCTCTCGCTGAACCCTCAGATCTGCCCGAGTGCCCCGCTGCAGATCAGGGGACAACTGGGGTGGTCTGCCCTTTTGCAAAGGCTAGCTGCGATCTTTACTGCACATCAGTCATGGCATTGCAATGACGACATGAACTGCCCGCGAGCAGCGCATTAACATGCTGGACCCCCCAGGCATGCAACGCAGTGCCTGTGCCCATTATCCGAGGACAGGAAACCACCACATCCAGAAACGCACAGTCAGAGTGCCGTCCTGAAAAGGACGTGCTGCACGACTGTGTTGCTCTCTTTGTGAAGTTGCAACTTTATACGCACCGCTCTGGAAAACCGGACCCAAAGAACGCCAGGCAAGGGAGAATGCCAGCTCGACCGTCTGCCGCTGCGTGTACACACTCTGGACCGGGAGAATGCTCTTGTTCGCTCGGAATCGCTGGATCACAGCAGGAGGAACCCCCATCGACTCAATCAGAAAGTCTCTGAAGCGAAAAGGATGGCGTTTGCTCGCTCCAGGTGTGCTTATATGCTGGGATAATTGGCAATGAAGCACACCTGCGAAAGCTTACGCTGCCAATTCATTGCATTCATTGGCCCGTTCAATACTATTTCAGACAAGCGGCTTCTGAACTGAATCCTCCCATACGTGGATTTTCCAAGATCAAATCCACTGTATAGCACTGAAGTTCCCCAACCGAAGGGGAACATTTATTTTCATGCACTATGTGTAACTATGTTTAACACTATGTGTTAGCTATGGATAAAAACAAATATATCAAATGCTTCTCGTAATCATTCATTCATTCATTCATTTTCTAGTCGGCTTAGTCCCTTTATTAATCCAGGGTCGCCACAGCGGAATGAACCGCCAACTTATTCAGCATGTTTTTACGCAGCGGATGCCCTTCCAGCCACAACCCATCTCTGGGAAACATCCACACACACATTCACACACACACACTCATACACTACGGACAATTTAGCCTACCCAATTCACCTGTACCGCATGTCTTTTGACTGTGGGGGAAACCGGAGCACCCGGAGGAAACCCAAGCAAAGCCAGAGAGAACATGCAAACTCCACACAGAAACGCCAACTGATCTGAGGTTCGAACCAGGGACCCAGCGACCTTCTTGCTTTGAGGCGACAGCACTACCTACTGCGCCACTGCCTCGCAGCTTCTCGTAATCATAACTTTAAAATGTGATATGATCATTTGAATGATTTGAATGCCGGTGCCTGTGGGAGCGAGTTCAAGCCAAACAGTGAGAACAGCTCCTACTAGAGTCACAGAATACGATCATCACAGAATTTGGTGTAACACCACCTTCACTTTCACTTCCCCATGCAAATCATTCTTTTAGCGCAGCTCTCAAACGATTGCTCTGTGCAACAAACTGAACTTTATTACTTGCTGTACACAGCATATGCAGGTTCTGTTCACTAAGAATTATACCTTATAAATACGTTATGTGACACTTTCATTTAAAGGTGTCCATGCAGTTGTGAAGACTTTTGCGTTTGCCTTTACTTTTCTGACCTTGAAAATATAATTGGCTGAATCGTAGAAAAAGCAGTATTAAGATCCCGTGTAGGGTCGATTTGAGATCTTTTTTCAATTAATCGTGCAGCCCTATTGACCACCATGAGGCTTGTCATCCTCCTATGGTCTTTTTCAGGCACTGTAAATCCTAGAAATGTGTGTTCATGGAATACCTACTAGATCCAAACAGTTAGCTAAGTCCCACCTCTTAATAAAAAAAAAAAGTTTGAACTTTAGAAGATCTGTTCTGTTGTACCAAATGAAGCCGGTAAGTAAGTTTCACCCAACAACAACTCTACATTTATTTTTAATCAAAAGATTCAGGGAAGTGTCAGGATGCCTAGCAAATCTGCAGCTAAAAATACATCCTGAGAGCCAGCGATGCCTCCTGGCATTAAAGAGGACCTGTTTGAAGACCTACTCACACTGACAGTGATTTTAATCTCTGGAGGCTAACAGGTCACTGTCCTGTTAACTGCTTGTAGATGTTTAGGATGTTATTGTGTATCTAAGAAATCTGATCACAAACTAACATACTGTTGCTACAAAAAATAAAAAAGTCTATTTTGGCAACAAATCAAAACCATTTTTTTTTCTGAGGAACTTGTGTGTTTGTATATAAATTACAGTTATGAATACAAAAAGGCTTCACATTATTTAAGATCGATGTCAGGTAAGTATAAAATATACTGACTCTCTTATAATTTCTTTAGTTAAACCTAATTATGATTTTTTTTTTTTATTCTTACCCAAGTGTGAAATCCCTTAAATCAACCTAAACGATCGCATAGACTCTATATTAGTTAACATATAGTAGATACAGTTGTCAATAACACAGTAATGCAAAATTGCCTACGACTGCACTGATTATGTTTTTACTAATAATTTAGTGCCTTTTGAACTTAAGGTTTATTGACATATCTGGTATTTTATTTAATTTTAATATTATTTAAAAGATCTCTCAAAAAATTACTTGTGCTGCTTGTTCAAACTACGTATTTAAAATAAGTTAAAACAACACAAAGTTGCTTTGGGAACGACCAAATAGTTTTATGTTGAATCACTGCAATTTGTAAAAATGTTTAAGTTAATTTAATCGATTTGTGTTGGGACAACATGAAAAAACTTGAGTGGAACCCAACACCTTTAACAGTGATTGTAAAGTAAAAGTTAAGGTACTTCACTGCATTCTGAATGTTACAATCAAAGTTTTTTAAACAAGTGCACTACCACAATGAGTTTAGATGCAAAAACCTCGAAAAGCCATTTGATATTTTCTTTTAAAACTAGCATTTTTCTCTGACTCCCGTGTGTAGGCTCAGTAATTTTACTTTTATAGTGATGAATAAGCTCTTTTTATTGCCTTTGAAGAGAAATAACTAAACATAAACATTGGAGGCTGATTAAAAAAAAAAAATGCGAACATTTGCAACGGCTCTTTGTCATAATACCTCATTGTCATATTCAGGTCTTGTTTATCTGTTAATTTAAAAAAAATGTATACTCTTAATTTTGTGGTATGAAAAATGATACCGAATATCGATATTTTTCAATAAATCATAACAGAGTATCATGTCAACACTACAGCATAATAATTATCTTTTTCAATGCCATTGCAAGATAAATTACAGAGCAAACTGGCAAGTGGATGATATATATTATAACTCATGTATATTAGAATTTCCAGCAGTTAACACTGCTTAAGTTGAATAGTATGTACTTGACTACTGTGCACTCCTACTGAAGGTCACTTAATTTCATCACTCTGCATAAAGTCACATTTCAAGTAATTATCTCAGCTTACTCAATCTATGCACAATGATTGATGAACCCAAATTCTGGTCCATTACTGGAAATAATCTCAATGATCAATGTCACTATCAGTGTGAACTAAGCTAAGAAACCAATGTCATCATATAGCATAAATCTAAAACATGTACCCGATACATACCAGCAGTACGGAGTCCTGTACCAAGTTCCTTAAAGGGAACCTGCAGAGTAGTGTCCAGAGTACGGAAACCCTCTTTCAGAGAGTGCTGTTTGTAATATTCAACAAGCCCCTAGACAGAAACAGCACAAGTTTAAAAGCTTATTCCTGGAACTCACCATTTTTTGTCAGGTTTGACCTAAATCATTTAATTTTTCAATATTTAATCCGCTGAGATTTAAGTTTAGTTTTACCATGTTCACAATTCTCTGGTCATATCTACTTTAGGTAAACCAATGTAATGCTTCATTTTGTTAGCATTTAATTTAGAGTATTTTCATTATTTAGTTGAACATTTCACTTTTTGGGAGAGAATACGACTCATTTTACAACTCCCCTAGCGTTAAACAGTAGAGTTTTCCCATTTTTTTAATCCATTCAGCCAATCTCTATGTCTGGTGGGAACGCTATTAGCTTAGCTTAGCATACAGTAGATCATTGAAGTAGACCATTAGCTTTTCACTCAAAAATGACAAGAGTTTTGATAATTTTTCTATTTAAAGTTTGACTTTTCTGTAGTTACATTGTGTAAATAGCAACTTTTTATTTTATGTTGGTATTCGTACATGATGTAATTCAGAAAAGTCAAGCTTTAAAGAGGAAAATGATTAAACTTTTTTTTGTGATATGCTAATGATCTAATTTGAATCAATTATGTAAAACTAAACTAAAATGCTCCTTCTAGCCCTCGAGACTGGCTGAATGGATTTTAAAAATGGTACAACTCAACTGCTTAACTCTAGGGAAGTTGTAAAATAAGCCTATTTAAAAAAAAAGTGGAATGTTCCCTTAAATGTTTGTTTTCTAAGTTATTATTTATTATCTTTCACTAACCTACTCGGTTGGGAAACAGCTACTATTGCTTAAAGCCCTGTTTCTACTTGGTATTGAGATGTGTTTTTACAATCATTATGTACAAGTAAGTGAACAACACTACAGTAAGTGCAGATTGTAATATGCTTAGAGTTAATGTAATTTTGACCACTTCCAGTCAAAAAAATATATTAGAGTTGATTGCTTTTGCAATATAAATGCTCCTAATGTAACCATACTTCACTGTTTTGTACTAAAACACTGATTGAAATTGTAAATGGCATCCACATCCTTGTCATTTGTTTGTTTTCCCACTTGGTCAAAAGCTATGCAGCATGAGTTTGTTCATTCAATAGTACTCATGTGTCGCACTAAATTTAGCTACGCAAACATGATAAAAACTACTGCATGACGCAAGAAGAGGGAAGGGTCTCCAAAAAATCCCAACACAAGTGGACACCAGATACACATCTGAATGCATACTAAAGGAATACAGTGTATACGGAAAGTATGCCCTTTTGTCAACATTTTTTTTTGTGTTACAGCCTTATTCCAAAATGGATTAAATTCATTTATTTTCTCGCATTCTACACACAATACCCCTTAATGACAATGTGAATTTTTTTTTTTATTGTTATGAATTTATTATTAATAAAAAAACCTGAAAAATCACTAAATTAAATATCTAAATTGAGCTCATTTTGTTTCCACTGATCATTCTAAAAATTTAGTAAATTCAGTTGATTGTACATGATTTGAAAAGGCATCCACCAGTCTATACAAGGTCCCAGGGTTGACAGTGCATGTCAAAGCACAAACCAAGCATGGAGAAAAAGAAATTGTCTGTAGAACTCAGAGACAGGATTGTCTCGAGGCACAAGGCTGGGGAAGGTTACAGAAATTTTTCTGCTGCTCTGAAAGTTCCAATGAGCACAGTGGTCTCAATAATCTGTAAGTGTAAGATGTTTGGAACCACCAGGACTTAGAGCTAGCCAGCCATCTAAGCTGAATGATCAGGGGAGAAGGGCCTTAGTCAGGGAGGTGATCAATAACCCGATAGTCACTCTGTCTGAGCTCCAGCGTTCTTCTATGGAGAGAGGAGAACCTTACAGAAGGACAACCATCTGTGCAGCAATGCACCAATCAGGCCTGTGTGGTAGAGTGGCCAGAGGGAAAGCACTCTTTATCTGGAATTTGCCAAAAAGCATCCGAAGAACTCTCAGACTATAAGAAACAAAATTATCTGGTCTGATGAGATTAAAATTGAACTCTTTGGAGTGAATGGCAGGCATTACGTTTGGAGAAAAACAGGCACCGCTCATCACCAGGCTAATACCATGCCTACAGTGAAGCATGTTGGTGGCAGCATCATGCTGTGGGGATGTTTTTCAGCAGCAGGAACCGGAAGACTAGTCAGGATAGAGGGAAAGATGAATGCAGCAATGTACAGAGACATCCTGAATGAAAACCTGCTTCAGAGTGCTCTTGACTTCAGACTGTAGTGACCGTTCATCTTCCAGCACGATGATGACCCAAAGCACACCGCCAAAATATCATAGAGTGGCTTTACAACAACTCAGTGAATGTCCTTGAGTGGCTCAGCCAGAGCCCAGACCTAAATCCTATTGAACATTTCTGGAGAGATCTGAATATGGCTGTTCAATATCACTTCCCATACAACCGGATAGAGCTTGAGAGATACTACAAAGAGGAATGGACAAAATTCCCAAAGACAGGAGAGCCAAGCTTGTGGCATCATATTCAAAAAGACTTGAGGCTGTAAATGCTGCCAAAGGTGCACCAACAAAGTATTGAGCTAAGGGTGTAAATACTTATGTACATGTGATTTTTCAGGTTTTTTCAATAAATTTGCAACAATTTAAAAAAAGTCTTTTTTCACATTGTCATTATGGGGTAATGTGTGTAGAATTTTAAGGAAATAAATGAATTTACTCCATTTTAGCATAAGGCTAATTAAAAAATTGAATTAAAATTTTGGAAAAGGTCAAGCGTTACGAATACTTTCCGGATGCACTGTAGTTCCCACAAAAATGAAAATCCGTCATCATTTACTTTCCCTCCACATGTTTCAAACCTGTTTGGGTTTTTCTTCAACTGAACACAAAAGACGGTATTTTGAAGAAAACTGGAAACCTGTAACCATTCAATGACTTCAGAGGTTTTTGTTTTTCCTACTTTGGAAGTCAATGATTACGGGTTTTCAGCTTTCTTCAAAATATCTCCAATAGTGTTCAACAGAATAAAGAAGCTCATAAAGGTTTGAAACAACTGGAGGTAAGAAAATAATGAGTACCTGTTCAGTTTTATTATTAAAAAAACTGTATCCCCTTAAAACTGTGTGTAAACAGGGCTGAGTTAAAATAATTTCCAAACCAGCAACAGTTATAAAAAATATTCATAGATGTGTTTAATAGATATTTACCATGGTAATGCTATGCTTGTTTTACATACCCTGAATTAACATGAGTTGTTATCATTCAGTACAATAGCACATTGTATATCAAAGCATTACCATCCATGCCACTGTATTGCCACAGTATTTTTTCCCAATATAAACATTATCATTTTAAAAACATTTTAGACAAAAACATTTAAACAAACAAATGTTGCAGTAATATTGATGACTCTGAATTAATAGTTAGACCCCTGTTATTAATTATGCTAATGAAATACAGAAATATGCAGATCAGCAAATGCTCTAGTTTCCTAAAAAAAAAGCAGCTTAGGCCTCTGCAGCACATCTGACACAGAAATATAACACCCTATATATGAATGCATATGTTTATGATAAATAGAGCAAATGGTGATAAACCCATTGCTTCTGCGCAACTCAAACCTACTTACCAACACATTCTTGAACGTCCTGCTTTCGGCAATGTAGAAACAGCCCTCCTTAGTGAGGACCTTAAGGTGCTTCACATCATTGTTGTACCTGCAGATGACAGAGAATCACTGTAACCATTTCATGATCATCAGTATTTCAGCTTGCACAATGTCAGTACTGTCAAAAAAGTTATTGAGAATTTGCATACAAGTCAAACAAATCTATTTAAATAGCACATTAAAGGTATAGTTCACCCAAAAAAGAAAATGTACTCACTATTTACTCAACCTCAAGTGATTCCAAACCTTTTTGAATTTCTTGATTCTGTTGAACATAAAAAATAAAGCTGAAAACCTGTAAACATTGATGTCCATAGCAGGAAAAACAAATGCTATGGATGTTTGTGGTTTTCAAAACAGAAGAAAGGAAGTCAAGCAGGTTTGGAACAAGTGAAAGGTGAGTTAATGATGACAGAATTTTCAGTTTTGAGTAACTGCATCTTAAAGTCATTTAAAAGGATAGTTCACCCCCCAAAAATATTGGTTCTTTGTGATTTGTATAATTTAAAGTTAATGGCTACCGGAGCTTTGAGAGCCAAAAAACATTTACAGGAAAAACTAAATGAAAAGCCATGACTCTAGAGGATACATTGAGATCTTATAAAGCAAAATGTTCATCAAGTGTCCAGCAAAATATTTCTAGAACTTATTTATTCTGGATGCTACAAAAGATTAATAATACACTGAAAAACCCAAAAAGTTAAGATAACTTAAACCGTTTGAGGAAACCGATTGCAACAAACCCTTTAAGTTCAAAAGCTAATCCTAATGAGTACTGTAAACTTAATCCATTTGAGTAAACGAAGCAATCTGAGCCCAGTAAAACCCAATAAATGAAGAGAAATCAAACTAACTGAGTACTGTAAAACCCAAAAAGTTAAGACAACTCAAACCGATTAAGGAAATCGATTGCTACAAAACATTTGAGTTACTAATCTATATGAGTTCTGTGAACTTACTCCATTTAAGTTGAAGTAATGAGGTATTTAATGAACACATTACCTTCAACACTGAGTTCAAAACTCTTTTCAAAGAATTAACTTAGTCAATTTTGAGTTAACTACACTCATTTCATTTGATAAAGTTGACTGTTGGGTTTTACAGTGTACATCCATGTGTACCCCTGGGAAGAATGACTTTATGGATTGTGTGTTTAAGTCCCTGTGTTGCCATTGTACAGTATTGTCAGCATTATGTTGGCATATACCTTGTAAGACCTCAATCATGTATGGTCAAGAGTCACTATATATAACATTGTTTTGGATGTGTCAGTCCCTCTAGGGTTTCATTTTTTGTGGCTAAAAGGATTGATAATGTACACATCTTAATTCTTTATACATTTTTTGACCTCGAGAACAATTGATTACTGTAATTTATATAAATGAAACACTGAGATAAACAGAGTAAAACCAGGAGATATTCCTAAAACTGCTGTATCATATATGAAAATGAAACCAACTATATTAAAACAATGCATTTGTGTTGTTTGATGGCTAATTTGAACATGCTGGTGGACATGATGCAGAGCATGCTTGCTTTCAGTACAGTATGTGTGCGTGTGTATGTGTGTAAGAGAGAAAGAAAAAGAGATAGAAAGAGGGCAACGCATATGACAACAGGATGCATATATACAATATGTAGTAGTTTAGGAAGTGATGCAACTCACATGGCCTAGTTTAAACAGGCTAATGTGCATAAATGTCACATGATGCGCATCACACACTGGATGAGAAACGTATTTTAACAACTTGAGGCTTTGCACACATTCTATTCGCTAATAGTTCATTCATTCATTTTCTTCTCGGCTTAGTCTCTTTATTTTTCAGGGGTCGCCACAGCGGAATGAACCGCCAACTTATCCAGTATGTGTTTTACGCAGCGGATAACCTTCCAGCCGCAACCCAACATTGCTGTGGCATGGTGGGAATTTGAACAGGCTCCCGGCGGTGCAAATGTTGTGGGAAATTTGCAGTAGTTAAAAAATAAATAACTCCACAAAATTTTGCAGTTAATTTAGCGATCGTGGAATTATGAAATCCTGAAGGGTTTGATATGTTGTTTTGACTCTCAAAGTGTCAGTAGCCATTTACTTGTATTTGCTGAATCACCTAGGACAATGGTATAGATAAAACCTTTCATATTTTACTTAAGACAAAAAAGTCAACAGCAATTTTTTATTTTTGGGCGAACTACACTTTTCGACCTTTAAGACCCACAGAAACACTGATAAATACAGCAATATTGCATGATAAAAATGAACGGTCAGTTTAGATTTTGTATTGGCTTTAATGCTTTTAACACCTAAAATAAGCAATAAGCATGACCCTGGACAGCAAAGCCATTCATAAGTGTACATTTTTAGAAATGTTGATTTATACATCATTTGAAATCTGAATATATAAACTTTTCATGGGTGTATGGTTTAAATTTGATTATATATAGGACAAAAAAAATACAAAAAAAATTTACTGATCCACATCAAATACTGCAAGAAAAGTATATTTTGACTGGGGTGGTGCAGCGGCGCAGTGGGAATCGCTGTCTCCTCACAACAAGAAAGTCCCTGGTTCGAGCTTTGGCTGATTCAGTTGGCATTTCTGTGTGGGGTTTGCATGTTCTCCCTTTGTTCATGTGGGTTTCCTCCGTGTGCTCCAGTTTCCTCCACAGTTCAAAGACATGCGCTATAGGTGAATTGGGTAAGCTAAATTGTCTGTAGTGTATGTGTGTTGCAGCTGGAAGGGCATCCACTGCGTAAAAATATGCTGGCTAAGTTAACTGTTCAATCCGCTGTAGCAACTACTGATTAATAAAGGGACTACGCCACAAAGAGAATGAATGAATGATGACTATTTTGACTAGATATATTTATATATTTAAATAATTATATATGTACTTGAAATATATATATATATATATATATTTTTCACCTTTGACTGAGTCTGAAGGGTTCTGAAGGGTTTGTCCCTAATAGTCGTGCACATAAGGGAACTTAATAACGACATTGTGTGTGACTCATCGCACAACAAATATATCAAATGGGCGGTGCGGTGGTGCAGTAGGTAATGCTGTCGCCTTACAACAAGAAGGTCGCTGGTTCGAGCCTCGGCAGGGTCAGTTGTCAGTTCTGTGTGAAGTTTGCATGTTCTTTCTGTGTTCGTGTGGGTTTCTTGCAGGTGCTACAGTTTCTCCCACAAGTCCAAAGACATGCAGCACAGGTGAATTGTGTGAGCTAAAATTGTCTGTAGTGTATGTGTATGAATGAGAGTGTATGTGTGTTTCCCGGGTTGCAGCTGAAAGGGCATCTGCTGCGTAAAACATGTGCTGGATAAGTTGGCGATTCGTTCCACTGTGGCGACCCCAGATTAATAAAGAGACTAAGCGAAAAAGAAAATGAATGAATGAAATATATCAAATGACCGTTGTGAAAACTCTTACTGTAGTAAGGGAGATCTGCTTCATTCTTGTCTGTCACTGAGCTATTTGTCTACATCAGAGGTTCTCAAAGTGGGGGTTAGGACCCCCCGAGGGGTCAGGGACAACGAAGGAGGGTCACCACGTGATTTCCAAAAATCTATTTATTTTTTTAAACCATAAGAATTACCTTATTTTATCCATAACCTACTGAAAAGAAAAAAAAATAGATGTTTATAGTTACTAAATACTACTGTATACAGTTACTATAGTAGCTTATAGTTACTAGTTCTATTGGATTGCGACCCCTGAGGTAATTACATTACATTAAAGACACAGCAATAGCGTCAGATGCAGCAGATAGATTTTAAAACATCAGGTTAAACTTACTGGCACATTTACAGCACTGACATACATTAAAAAAAATCTTTAAAGAATAGACTTGGGTCTATTGGTTTTTTGCGCCATTGCATGCAAGGTTTCTGTATTTACAACCACCTCAGAAGATATTGGGGGTTGCAAGTCACTGGCCTTGTTATTTTGGGGGTCGCGGGCTGAAAAGATTGACAACCCATGGTCAACGTGAAGGCTATGGCTGACACGCACGTAGGAACAGTGGGCAGGAAGAATCAGCTCATTATGATTAAAGCAACAGGCAACAAAAACAGCTACAATGTTAAAACAGCTCACATTTCCCAGATTTAAAAAGGTAAAATAAGAAAGCTGATGGGTATTTTGAGTTGAAACTTTATAGACACATTCAGGAGACACAAAAGACTTATCGTATATTAAATCTTGATAAATGGTTAAAACTGGTGCCCTTAAAGTTGACAAAATAAAGTTCCAAGTAATCTCTTTTACTAAGCCAAATTAAGTTTTGATATAATAATAATAATATAAAATGTATCAAATGTCTCAATTGAAGATGATCAGTACTTAGTATACTAATGACTGTTGGCATAAACTGAAATAAAAATCGATGAATTTCACTTTTATAAAATGTATTTTGGCTTTTCCCACAAATATATACAACCTGTGCAACATAATACTGAATTTGTGATTCAGGGTCACAAATGGGTTAACAAAAGGTTTGAGTACATAAATAATGAAAATCCATTTTTGAGTGAACTATCCCTTCAATACTGGATCAAAGAGTTATATTAGCTAGAGATGATCTAATACCCCGTAGGTTTTTCCATAACCTTGAGACAGCTATAGAAAAACCAGTTCCTTTTAAACTAAGTGTGACATGAGCCTGTTGTGGACAGAACTGCCCATAACATAAGGCTGTGGAACAGTGCTGTCAGTCTCTGACCGCAGGTCAACACACCCAGAGGACCTAAAGCCCCTCATTAAATGCTAAAATGTTTTGACAGAAACCTGGTGACTGGTTTGAGCATGAGACACGCAACTATAAAACGTTCTGAGGTAATAACACCCGCACCGAGCGTGTAGTGTGATAACTCGCTGACCACGACCATAATACACATTGAGCCGTATGCAAATACCATCATGCATAATGCATTGACTTGCATGGAGGGAAATGAAAGAAGAAAGCTTAACTTAGCGTGCAAAAGGACTGTTGTACAAGGACCCCGCCGACCATCCGTCACGCCAGCTTTGTGTGCAATAAAAATGCTTGCTCAAATATATGAAGTGGGATAATAGGTACACGCACTTGATGCTGATGGCGTACTCTCTGCTCTCACGGCTCCGGTATCGCACCAGGTATGTGCTGTTCTCTCTCTCCATGAGCTCAGACTCTGCGTGATGCCTCTCCATGGGGCCTGCGAACCTGCTCACACACACCGAAATGCATGTGGTTAAAAGCAGAACTAAAAAGACTCAGCACATGTAGTCATGCAGGTTGTTTTATGTGTCGTATGGATATGCTAAGGCTTACCAAGGTTGGGAGGAATAGTCGACTGTTCTGGGCACCTAGGAATGAGAAATACACAGTGTATTACAAATGTTATGTTTTTTGAGATTTTTTTAAATACCATACAGTACGTCACGATGTGTCCGGTTTAATCAAAGAGCTTAAAATGACCAAGAGGTGACACTCTAGTGTAATTTGGGAAACAGCCACTAGAGGGTGCGGCAGCCATTTTGGGTTGAAAACTCCAATAGAACAACAGCATATTATAAGTCTGTTAAATAAACTATTAAAAGTGCTGATGATTGTGATAGTAGGTGTTGTATTGTCGTCTTTCAGGTCGTATCTCAGCTTCTTTATTAAATAAATAAAAAACAAAGGAGCTGCTTGCCATTGCGACAGTAATGAGATCCAATGGACGGCCGATCACTTTCACTCCAAAATGGCGGAATCCGGGGCTGTTGCTGGGTGCTGCTGTTGCAATGGAACGTTCTATTGAGTGTCGCCTCCTGGTCATTCTAAGCTCTTTGGTTTAATTTATGCAGTCATATTTTTGCATTCATTTACGCAAGACACGCTAAAATGTAATTTGCAATATAAAGTTTATAAAACAAAATATCTAATCAGGCACACTGTGTTTACTGCACAACATGATGAACTATATTTTACCCATATTTTGACATTTTATTTTCACTAAGGTTATGCGTAAGAATAAATAGACACTAAAATTATTTCAAAGTTGATCAGTCCAATTCAGTAAAACGACAAACAACAAAATGGGACTCTCTTTGACCCTTATGCAAAAACATAGCCAAACTATTCATAATTATTATGAACAACTGTAATTTTAAATTGGATAGATTGAATACAAAATACATTATCAAGATGGCGCCGAGCATGGCCGCCGTGTTGCGAGCTCTCAGCAATCTTTGTTGTGTTTTGTGTGTTTTACTTGTATTTTTGCCGTTTTTCGTGCTGGATGTACACAATCGTTCTAACTTTTCACTCATCATAGCACACGTGGCGCTGATGATGTGACAATAAAAGTGATTTGATTTGAATAATAAATAAAATGCAGTATAGTGTAGTCCAATCAAGCACATACAGTATTTATAGGCAAAACATGCTGAATACTGGAATCTGATTGGCTAGAAAGTTTGGATCAAAACAGCTTATTGCACAGGTAGTTTAGTGCAGTAAGAGTAAGCATGGTCAACTGCGATTTTGTAGAGAATTCAATGCTTTTAACACCTTCATTAAGCAAAAAACATGTCCCTGGACAGCAAAGCCAGTAAGTGTCCATTTTTTTGTTCAGATTTAAACATCATCTGAAAGCTGAATAAATAAACTTTTCATTGCTGTCTGGTTTAAGTCCTATATTTATATATATATAGGACAAAAATGTACTGAAACGCAAATTATTTTATAATATAAAATAAAACTATTTGAATATCAGGAATCCGAGGGTGCAAAACAATCTAAATATTAAAAAAAATCACATTTAAAGTTGACATAATTAAGTGTATTAGTAATTCCTTCGAGTAAGCCAAAATTAGTTCAGTGCAGTGATTATGCAGTGTGTATACTTGTAAAGGCACAGGAACATGTCAGTGCTGCCCTGAAACTTAGTTCAATAAATTAGCTTTGAATTGCTACAGTATATTTCTCAATAGACCCTTTTCACATTTCCAGGTTTCTTAGTAGTGGAATATGTTATGTAAACTTAATGCTCAGTGAATTGGAGAGGACAACAAATAATTTTTACAATCCTATTTGCTGGAATAATAAAAGACAAACTCTACAATGGTATTATCAAGACTTTTGGCAAAAGAAAAAAAAAATAGTGTGAGACTGATGACGGAAACCAGAGGAGAGAATAACATCAAATTTACTCTCAGTCGACGCTGCATTAGAAACATCTTGCATGAGCAGTAATTCATTTTTTGTAATTTGACTCAAAGATGATTTAATACATTCATAAACGTTTATACGATTTAAAAAAAAAATCTAAATATTAAAAACTTTCAAGGATTTACCATTATGATGACCGGTAAACGTGTCATAACAGTCTTGTAAACGGGTACATAACAATTGAATATATTTTAAATAAATGGTATACTTAATTAATCAAAATATATGGGATTACCATACTTAAATTGGACAGTATGTTTGATCTAACTGACCATAATACCCATGATATTAAAAATATTAACAACAACAAAAATGTTCATCATTAACAACCATACGATTGTCATTGCTGATAAAGGACCAATATATATGCAACATAATTCATGGCTTGCTATGCATTAAACAATTGTATTTGTTTGTTTGTCAACAAAATTTCAAAAAGTTTTGTCGCCTATCAAATTAATAACTTCTAGTCGATCATTTGGTATTGGAAATGGCTTATATGAAAGGCAAAGGCCTCTAGATAATGAGTATTTTGCCAAAATAAAATATTATCATGCCTTGATTTTTAATAGATTTATTTGGACAGTAAGGTCTGACTTTGCTGAGACAAAAGTCTTGTCACTTAACAGGAATAATGTACAGTAAAAAATATAAAGTCGTGGTGCAGTGGAAAAAAAAAATAATATTGAGTATGACTCCCACGAGCTTATAGGACTGCATCCATACAACTCTGCAATGACTCAAATAAATTATTAACAAAGTCATCTGGAATGGCAAAGAAATCATTCTCGCAGGACTCTAAGAGTTCATAAATATACTTTGGATTCATCTTCAATGCCTCATCCATCTTACCCTAGACATGCTCAATAATGTTCATGTCTGGTGACTGGGCTGGCCAATCTTGGAGCACCTTGACCTTCTTTGTTTTCAGGAACTTTGATGTGGAGCCTGATGCATAAGAAGGAGCGCTATTCTGCTGAAAATGTTGCCCTCTCCAGTGGTTTGAAATGTAATAGGCAGCACCAATGATACGTTCTGCCACATTTCCAAATGATCAACTAGAAGTCAAGTTATTATTTCTTGCTCTTACAACTGGGATTGATGACAAGACTTTTGTTAGGTAATGTATGTATAATTTACAAAATGATTACATTAATTAGAAATACATTTCTAACTATATATAATTATTTACCATTATTTCTATATAACACTACAACACAACTACATCCATACTATTATGACCACAAACCTTTAAAACAATAAATTAGCCTTTATATATTGTCACTTTTGATCAGTTTAATTCAAATTCAAGTATTCATTTTCTTCACACATCACAAAGAAAAACAAATCAAAGCTGTTGTTAAAATGATTATGCAAGTCATACATACTTACACATGGGCAGGGCTTGACGGCATCACTTGGAAAGAAACCGGTCTCTTGCGTCGTCAGGATTTTGCCCTGCCAGAACGTGTGGCTGTTAATTGCATTATATTTGCCTCGCGGCGATGCTCCCTCCTCCCAATTTGCTTTAATAAATCTAAGACAATTAGCTCGCAACAAGCAGAGAATCTCATTTAGAGCCACAGTTAATTACTGTTCAGGCTCTACCCACGGTTCAACTCCGTTCCGCATCAGAACCAAAGCATCATCTAATGCTGAATAATCATTCAAGCTTTCCACGGCAGAACCTCGTGAATCATGACACTCGCCAATAAGGCATTGTTTGATATTGCTGCTCTGAGCACATTTGGATTTATGAATAACATTAGAGCCGCGTTCTGTATTATATCCGCACGCGATAGATTGTATTGAGCAATCGCAGGCCGAATAACAGTTTTAAAACAGGCTCATTTCTTGCATGGCTTCAGCCGCAATTAGCTGCACATTTCTGGATAAAAACAGACAATTCCCTCCTGAAACAACAGCTGGGAGGTTATAATGCGGCGTGAATGCGGTGGAACCAGATGCCAGAACTTTAGCAGCCTATGATCGATTGTCTGATGCTTTGACTGAAAGCGTAATGAGCCATCTATACAGCAATATATATATATATATATATATATATATATATATATATATATATATATATATATATATATATATATATATATATAAAACATTTATTATATAATTTGTTTTTCTTTCCCAGCTCCCTTTTAAAATCATCTTTAACAAGTATGAAATGAATCTCAGAAAAAATGCACCTCCGCCACAAATTAGATTGGAGCCTCAAACTGGAACTGTATTCATGATTTATTCGACTTAATAATGTTTTGAAAGCCCTTTATATTTGTTACGCCGCAGATGAGCGTATGATAAAGATTAAACTTATTACCCCATTAGAGTAAACAGTTGGCAGCCTAAAGGATCAAATTAAATTACAGTGATCGATTGCACTGTTCTGGCAACGGGACAGAGATAATTGTCTTCCAGTAACATGGGAGATGGATGCTTAGTGCTCTGTAATCCCATTCTTCGGTGTCATGGGACCTTGAAGATTTAGTAGCCTTATTAAGAGTTAAGTGTCGTTTCGCACAAGATAAAATAAACCAGTGATCTGCATTATCATTCAACGGTGGCTCTTCTCGCTCGCCCCGTTGACCCGAAGAACCAGCGCTGACATGCACGTCTCGCCGCTGCCTGTCGCAGTCTGTTGGCTCGCTGAATCTCTTGGCATCCATTTTTGAGCTGTACAGGTTTTTTTTTTAAACCTTGGTGTGTGCTATCAGGCAGAAATGGCCCAGCATAAAGCATGGGAAATCTAGCTAAGTGTCTATTCCCCACCGAGCTGTTTGAGACGCGTCAGCCAGATTGGAGGAACACCAGGAGGAAGATGAGGTTTTAGTGCCATCGTAAACCATAGAGAAAAAGAGCCACACAGCCTGGCATGAGCCAGAAATAAATAACATGGGAGCAGTCTGTGACAATAAGCTTGAGACAAAACTGCTCTGCTGAAACATGCCTGAACAAAGACTCAGCAGTCACTATAGTTGATGGCTCATTTAGGTATCAGCAGAGTATATAAGACAACTATATGGGAGAGAGATTTATAGTTACTATACACACACTGGCCACTGTATTAGGTACACCTGTCCAACTGCTCGTTAACAGAAATTTCTTATCAGTCAATCACATGGCAGCAATTCAATGCATTTAGACATGGTCAAGATGATCTGCTGCAGTTTAAACCGAGCATCAGAATAGGGATGAAAGGTGGCATGAAGGTGGTATGATTGTTGGTGCCAGACAGGCAGGTCTTAGTATTTCAGAAACTGCTGATCTACTGGAATTTTCATGCATAATCCCTCTCTAAGGTTTACAGAGAATGGAGAAAGAGGAGAATGGCCAGACTGGTTCGAGCTGATAGAAAGGCAAAAGTAACTCAAATAACCACTTGTTACAACCAAGGTATGCAGAAGAGCATCTCTGAACACGTAAAACCTTGAGGCAGATGGGCTACAGCATCCAAAATAGGTGCCACTCCTGTTAGCTAAAAACAGTAAACTAAGGCTACAATTCACACAGACTCACCAAAATTGGACAATAGAAGATTGGAAAAATGTTGCCTGTCTGATGAGTCTCAATTTCTGCTGCAACATTTGGATGGTAGGGTCAGAATTTGGCAACAACATGAAAGCATGCACCCATCCTGCTTTGTATCAACGGTTCAGGCTGGTGGCGGTGGTATAATGGTTTGGGGGATATTTTTTTGGCACACTTAGGCCCATTTGCACCAACCGAGCATTGGGTCAATGCCACAGCCTACTTGAGTATTGTTGCTGACCATGTCCATCTCTTTATGACCAGTGTACCCATCTTCTGATGGCTACTTCCAACAGGATAATGCACCATATCATAAAATGCGAATCATCTCAGACTGGTTTCTTAAACATGACAATGAGTTCACTGTACTCAAATGGCCTCCGCAGTCACCAGAACTCAATCCAATAAAGCACCTTTGGGATGTGGTGGAATGGGAGATTCGCATCATGGATGTGCAGCCGACAAATCTGCAGCAACTGTATGATGCTATCATGTCAATATAGACCAAAATCTTTGAGGAATATTTCCAGTACCGTGTTAAATCTATGCTACTAAGGATTAAGGCAGTTCTGAAGCCAAAAGTGGGTCCAACCCGGTTCTAGTAAGGTGTACCTAATAAAGTGGCCGATAAGTGTGTATATAGCTTAAAGTTTAAAAACTGGAATACAGATTATTTGTATTTACAGTAATATATCCCTGCATAATAACAAAAATATGTGTAAAAACTTACAAATAGTAAGTAACAAGGCACTGCATATATAAAGTATTTATATTTAATTTTTGTTGGAAATAAATAATTTTTACCATATTAATCAAATATTACAATATTTACAATACATATTAGTGCAGTGATTACTAATCATAAATTACTAATTCATTCATTCGTAAAGTTGTTTGTTTTTATTGTATACTATGCAAATAAATGAATAACAATAATTTGTCATTTCAATTCCTTATTTGTATGGGCAGACAGCCCAATAGCTATAGAAAAAATGGTGACTGCATTTATCATTTGGTTGAAATATAACAAGATGTGTCTATATAAAAGGTTATATGCACCATTTTTGCTCATAGTGCTGTTGTGATCAATCTTCAGGGACCCACGGCACAATAAAACACAATTTAGCTCTTACTGTAGATATTCAAATACTGCTGTATACTAGTGTATCTGACCTGCCACCAGGAGCTGTGAGGATCAGCGTAGACGACCTCTATGACATCACCAATCTGAGCATTCAACGCTTGTCCGCCTTGAGGTTTGGAAACCCCAAAATAATCTCTGATGACCAGCATTTTTGGCAAACCTGCAAAAAAAAAAAAAAAACACACACACATCTAAATCAAAATCGGCCCTAAAACAGGTCTTATGTTGCATCGATTTATCAGACTGTGCCTATTTTGCTACAAACACTCCACATTTTTTAAATAAACACAATATACATGGGACAATAACAATTTAAGGTTTACAGCAGCTTGGAAAAGTCAAGGTTTTAAATGATATTGTTATACTGCTCCTAAGGTGTATGTACGGTTTATTATTGTGTGTTTTTGTTGTTTTGTTATTTTGTTTAGAATTTTAGGGCAACAGACAGAATCTCCAGCAGAAAAAAAAACATCCACACCAAGACCTACTGGTCAGCCCACGCTTATGCTCTAACACCAACAGTAATTATTTAGCCTGACATGTTTACGGCTCCAAGAAGTTGTAAATGTTTCTTAAAATAAAATATATTGTGTTCGATGGGAAAAAGTTGTTGTTTTTACCCAGACATTTAAAAAATATATGTATTAGAGCAGCAATCACAATACCGTGGTACTGTGCAATTGTGATATTTTACCCAAGGTTATCATACCATCAGAATCTTACACTATTGATACTATATACTCAACATTTTACTCTGCTATTTGATATTATGCAGCGCCACAAAATAGTCCCCAGAACCAAGCCCATTTGGTTGATTTGAACCAGCATTTACAATGTGTAAAATCATTGTGCCTGCTGCTGTCAAGGTACAACAGCAAATTAGTTTAATATAATAATACTGGAGTGAGAGTATGGTTCCTAGCCAAAATAGCAACTTTTTATTTTCTGTTGGTCTTAGTACATGATGTAACTACAGAAGTGTTACGCTTTTAATAGGAAAACTCTTTTTAATTTTTTTTGAGAAAGATGCTAATGGTCTAATCTGATTCAGTGATCTATGTTAAGCTAAGCTAAAAGTGCTGCCTCCAAACCTGGAGATGAGCTGACTAGTTAAAAAAATGGTAAAACTAAAGAGAAACTCTAGGGAAGTTGTAAAATGAGCATTATTTAAAAAAAGCAGAGTGTTGCTTTAGTAAATTGACTTTGAATAATAATAATAATAATAATAATAATAATAATGGTAGTACGGTGGCTTAGTTGTTATCACTTTCACCTTACAGCAAGAAGGTCCCTAGCTCAAGTCCCGGCAAGGCCAGTTTTTTTTTTTTTTTTTTTTTTGTGTGGATAAAATCTGCTTTCTGTTAATGAAAACAAATGACTGATATATATCATGATGTCATGATGACAGTAAATAATATTTTACTATATATTTCTTAAAACACTAGATATTTTTAAGAGACATTTAAAAGCTTAACCAGGTTAATTTGACAAGTTAGGGTAATTAGGCAAATCATTAATGATGGTTTGTTCTACAATCAAAAGAAATATTGCTTAATAATATTGACCTTAAAATAGGTTTAAAACAATTAAAAACAACTTCTATTGTAGCTGAAATAAAACAAATAAGACTTTCTCCAGAAGAAAAAATATTATCAGACATACTGTGAAAATTTCCTTGCTCTGTTAAACATCATTTGGGAAATATTTGAAAAATATTTTACTTTTCTAAACCGCAGTATAACCTTGAAAACAGCTTTTGTCCCATATATATATATATATATATATATATATATATATATATATATATATATATATATATATATATATATATATATAGTAACTAGTAACTATTTACTTGAGTATTTTCTTCATCAGATACTTTTTTACTTTTACTCGAATAACTTTTAAGATTGTAACTTTTACTTTAACTAGAGTAAAAATTTCTGCAAGTACTTGTATTTTTACTTGAGTATAGATTTTGGATACTCTAAAATCTAAAAATGTATCCTAAACTGTACAGGAATACAATAAACAGAGGCCAGTAGACGCAGCAGCATTCTGCACCCTCTGCAGACGAGTAATTGAGGTATGGCTTATACCCATATAAAGGGCATTACAATAATCTAGCCTAATAAAATAAATATAATATAGTTTGCTTTTATTCCACTGATAAAAATAATAGTGTAAATATCATTTTCTTGCATGTACATTGCTCCCTAAGAACATCCAAGGAAAACACCTCCCAAACAAGAAGTAAGAAATACTCATATGCTTATGATACAGTGAATAATGGCCCTTTAGTGGCCTCCTATAAAGAGTTTAAAGAAATTAGTTTCACATCAAGCCACTGATTTTGCTCCACTACAGCACAGTGGGTGGCACTTTTCTGAGCAAAGCAAATGTTTGCTTTTCCATTGCCACAAATAAAATGACACAAGGCAGCAATTGCTGCTCCCACAACCCCATCCACTAAACCAGACTAACCAGTGACAGAGAAGGAGATCCTCTGAGGCTGTTTCTGACTCTAGAGTCTCTGCGGTGGTTAATAAGGCTGGTCAACAGAATAAACTTCCCCTGAGCCCTTCTCTAGGCCAAGGGTTTCTCCAAGCATAAAACAGCTCTTTAGTATCCAGTCTATAAATGTGTTGTTTTTAATACCGCCAGGTGCCGGGCTTTAAAAGCAGACTGTAAAAAACGGTTGTTTTACAAGTACTGGAGAGGTTTATAGAGGTCTATGCCACCTGACTGAACCGAACTGAACGCTTTTTTCATTATTTAACTAAGGTTCTTTCCTTTGCATTAATATTTAAAACATTATTATGAGATCATCATGCATTTTTAACATAATTAGTAATTCAATTAAAAGAACAATTCACCTGGAAAAACATGGCTGTTCATTTCACCCTCAGGCCATAAAAGATATAAGTGACTTTTTTCCTCTTATTAAGGAAGAGATAAAACCTGGTCCTTGGTGATTTATATAATGCCAGTTAGTGGTTCCCATATACTGTTGAAGTCAGAATTATTAGCCTCTCTGAATTATTTGCCTTCCTGTTTAATTTTTCCCACAATTTCTGTTTACGGAGAGAAGATTTTTTTCAACACATTTCTAAACATAATAGTTTTAATAACTCGTTTCTAATAAATTATAGCCAATATAAAACAAAAAAAGACTTTCTCCAGAAAAAAAATATTATCAGACATACTGTGAAAATTTCCTTGCTCTGTTAAACATCTTTTGGGAAATATTTAAAAAATATTTTCCCAAATGATGTTTAACAGAGCAAGAACATTTTCACAGTATGTCTGATAATATTTTTTTTCTGGAGAAAGTCTTTTTTTGTTTTTTGTTTTATTTCGGCTAGAATAAAAGCAGTTTTAAATTTTTTTAAAAACCATTTTAAGGTCAGTATTATTATCCCCTTGGACAATAGTCTACAGAACAAACTCTCGTTATACTAGCTTAATTACCCTAACCTGCCTAGTTAACCCTTTAAATGTCACTTTAAGCTATATAGAAGTGTCTTGAAAAACATCTAGTAAAATATTATTTACTGCCATCATGGCAAAGATAAAATAAATCAGTTATTAAAAATGACATTAAAACTATTGTGTTTAGAAATGTGTTGAAAAATGATTTTCTCCGTTAAACAGAAATTGGAGAAAAAATAAAGAGGAGGGCTAATAATTCAGGGGGATTAATAATTCTGACTTCAACAGGTAAAACATTGTAGTTATATTCTTCAACTGCAGGTCTTTTAATACTAAAATTTTGCAAACCCTAATGTTGGTTATTGGCAGTGTTCATTTATGGTTATGTTAATTTACTATATGTGCACATTATGTAAATAATACTATTTGGAGGTTTGTCGTTGGTAATATTAAATTAACAAAATAAAAATAAAAAAAACAGGAAAAAAATATTATAGCTGTAATATGTGTTTTTTTTGACATTACATTTCTATTTAAGCACATGTGAATCAGAGGTTGCTGAAACTTTTATTTCAAATATGTTGATGTACTTCCAACTGAAATTAAGTATAAATCATATTATGTTTCCCTCAGAGCTAATAAATTGTCAAAGTGGTGTGGTTAAAATATTAATAAACAGCTGTTATGGAAGCCATTAGATTGACGTCAACAGAATGACCATCACTCCAAACATGAAAATAAATTGTCAGATTTTGCAAGAAGATTATCAAAACAAACCATTTATTTCAGTGGATTAACTTGCATGGAAAAAATGCTATTTTTGACATTTTTTAAAATAACAATGCCATTCATTCATTCATTTATTTTCTTTTCGACTTAGTCCCTTCATTAATCTGGGGTTGTCATAACGGAATAAACTGCCAAGTTATGCAGTCCATGTTTTACACAGTGAATGCCCTTCCAGCTGCATCCCATCACAGGGAAACATCCATACTCTCAATTACACACACACACACTATGGAAAATTTAGCCTACCCACTTCACCTGAACCAATTCTTTGGACTGTGGGGGAAACCGGAGCATCCGGAGAAAACCCTCCTGAAAATTTATGAGAACATGCAAACTCCAAACAAAAATGCCAACTGACCCAGCCGAGGCTCGAACCAGCAATCTTCTAGCTGTGAGACGACAGCACTACCCACTGCACTGATTTCACAAGGACTTTAAAGATAGGACTCTTTGATGTACATAAATTAACAGGAAACATAACTTACTAGACATTTTGTGTTTTTACTCTCACTTTTGATCAATTTATTGTGGCCGTTTTGAAAAAAAAAAAGTTAGCAATTATATAACTATAACATTAATAAATAAAATACAAACTAAATTAAAAAATTCAATAATTAATTAATTAATAAATAATAATTCAATGATACAATATGATTTGAGAATTAAATGATGGCAACGTAATATTAATTAATTAGCTTCTATATTTTAGCTATGCACAAAATTACATTTCCTCAACTCATCCACATCTTTATTGGGTTTGTTAGCCTTTTTGTTTGAAAACTAATATAAAATGTCATGATTATCATGTTTATTTATCATGTAGCCTTACAGCTTCTGATGAAATCAGGACTTGTGATTTTTTTTCAAACAGATATAACTTATTATTTATGTAATTTATTTTTATTTGTCTAACACTTACTGTTACAGTGCACCCATAAA